TTTTTCAAGATTCTCGGAGACATAAGGGGATGCATTCGTTGTTCCTCACCTCTCCAACGGAGATTAGCACACCCTCAAGTATGTGGACTTCAAATTAGATCTTCGTCTACATCACTTCTGGCTATCTCTTAACCCTAGCTTTACTTGTTGTTTTTTACTTGCTTGTTTGTTCCCTTTGTAGCTTGCGAACTTGTTGTAACACATCGTATTGAGTGTATCATCTAATTGCAAATCTAGTGAACTTACATTTCCACACTAGCCTCTAAAGGCAACTAAGAAAAAGATCAATTTTGTAGTCGCCTATTCACCCCCGCCCCCTCTAGTGAATTTCACGAGCATCTTTGATCCTTCATATCCTCTCTTACTTAAACAGGGCATAAGGTCCTTTCGTTCGTTTATCCTTCGTCCAACCCTGTACGCGCTCCCTCTCTCTCACTGTTTTGATTTTTTCTCTCATCTTCGTTCTTTTTCACCGGATTCCCTTGAAAACTGCCTCAACTCTTATTTACTCATAAGCCAATAAGTGCTTACCAAATAAAATCCTATTTTGTTTACATAATCAAATTAATACGAACAAGTAAACCACGTGTCAACCTACTACAAGATTTATGCCCCCGTTGCAACGCACGTGTAATTATCTTAGTTTCCACAAAAGTATGGTTATGCGCATCCAAGAATGCAAAGAGCGGAGGAGGATTAACATCCGTGCTTTGTTTTCCTTTTTGTTACTCCCTCCGTCCCATAATATAAGAACGTTTTTGACACGTTCTTATATTATAGGACGGAGGGAGTATTTCTTTTCTTTCTCCGCCTGCGGGCCCATGCATATATGCGGTTTGTTTCTCCTTGCAAGCATCCTTTTACTGAACCTATTTGTGTCGGTACCTCACCCTGCAAGCGTTGATCAAAAGTAGAAAAGCACGACCTGCCCAAAATAGATCACTATTCACTTGCTGTCCTCTTCTTTGTCTCAAGGTCCAGCCCTTGCTCGCTCTTGGTTGCCAAACTGTTGGAAAGTGCCCGACCAAAGAAAGTAATGGTACCGTCACTGCGAACCACCTCCACTCGCTCAGGGAGATGAACCACCATAGCTAATGACACGTCAAAAGAAAGAATGAAAGAAAGAGAACAATACTATCCTGTCTCCATTATTCAAGTGAGACATATCTATGTGCCAGCCAACAAGCAATTAGAAAACTTTGATGGAAAAAAACAATGAGAAAACTCCAAAGATTGTGATTATCCATTTATTTAGGGGATCTATGTGCAAGGTGAGGCCAGTCACATGCGATGCACATGCCTAATTATTGGGGAAGGTGCTACCAAATCATTCATAGGGCTGCATGCTAAAGGTGAAAGAGAAGCAACCTCCCAGTTGACCTCTCTCATGAGCCGAGATGCTGCCATGTCAAGAAGCGTCTGCGTGACACTAGATTTGTTTCGGCTCAACCAAAGCAGCTCCACATTTTTTTTTCCTTTCTCTTTTCCCCCTCCTTTGATTTATTCCCCTTCCTTTTACTTTTTTTTGCATATTTGAGCCCTATCTACCATGCAATTTTTGGCTATATTTTTATAAATCAGTAAAGGATGATGCATCCATAAAAAAAAGAGTAAATTAAAGGATGATGCACCAGGGATTGCATCATGGGGTCTGGGGTCAGATGACCGAGGATCTGACTTTTCCTTGTAAATAATGAATGGCATGGAGCTCGACACAAGCAACACTGATACTGTTTCTTGGATCTTGACCTGGCATTCATGATCTGCATTCTGATTTTAAAGGTGTTTACATATATGCCCTCAACTCAAACTACCACCATAATGTAAAAGTTTAATGTCTTGACCTGATCTGGTGTCCTGGAGAACTCCTGCTGTCATCCTCTCAAACTCAAATGATGAGAAAGTCAAACTATATGCACCTAGCCTGAACTTGCCAACACTTTTCTTGACTTGACTTGTGCCTACTGCTACTTAATCATCTGGTATCACCATCACTGGTAATATTCTTCTATGCTCTCTCGCTAATTTTTATATGCGTCGTAATCCCCATCTGTCCAATCCTCTTCAAGTATACGATACATAATCCAGAGGCAAGAATTGGCCTCCTAAATTACGCGTTTACAACCGCGATAAAACTAAGATTACACTATAAATAAACCATGATTGCAGCAACAGTTGGCCAATCAACTTTGAGACAAATATGTCCTTGCAAGAGATTGGTTGAAACAGCTCAGCTGGATGGACAGAGATGGGCAGATAGTTGAAAGGAGGTAGAACTACTTCACATGCTGTCTACAAGGCGCTACTTGTGCTCACCTGCTTCTCTCTCTTTCTGTCTCTCTCTAGATTCAGTCAAGGAGGAGTTGGATTAAAGGTAGAAGAAGAGGAGACGGCATCTAGATCAAGGCTCCGACATTCATTCCTTTAGAGCAGGGATAACTTGTGCCTCAATCCTTGCTTGTCACGCCTTGATGATCTTTTCAGCTTCGACTTTCTTTGATTCTAAGATCCAACGGCTCACATTATGCCATGAATACCACCTTCGGACTGGTATACAAGGCGTTATCCTATTTTTGGGGTAATTCTGTCCAAGATCACTGTCCAACGCACCCACCTTGGCCTCTGCAATTTCCGGCAACACATAGTGACGATGGAGTAAGAAAATACAAGTTATATTCCCCGGGAATATACCACTGGATTTGCATTCGAAAGATGTTTCCAGCAGCGTGCTTTTACTGTTATGTATGCAGCACAAAACTAGAGCTCTAGTCCGATGCAGTTGGCGACCAAATTCTAATAAAGTTGTACTAAAGCAACGTCAATTAATATGGATCGAAGGGAGTATAAGAACACCCAAAGATGCAAAATGAAAGTTCACAATTGATGATGGACTCCTGATTTTCTTTGAAAAGAATGTGCTTATGTCAAAATTTTCAGTTTTCCAAAGAAAGGAACTGACAGTATTTTGATAAACATGTTAGGGCATGAACAATGGAGGCATCATCATACCACTGCCCCAGCATTTCACATAGATAAAAATAACTAAAGCCACAGTTTAGTTTTATCTCTATCCAATGGAAGCAGCAGTATTGTTGCCAGGTTCAACAGCTCTTTTTTTTTATATACAATACAGTAGTTGTGGTCATGTTGGTTGCTGTCCTATCCTCCCTTATTGGCTGCCGCAATACCTTTGTCAGGGAAGAACCAGCCTCCTCTGCAGGATCCCGTCTAGCTCTGCAAGCACTACCTTTTGGCATGCAAAACTATCCGAGCCGAGGTGGCATGCTGGAGCACCCGTCCATCCTGGCGCGTTGGCCATGCCCTTAGAGTTTTCAGCATATGATTTACCTGGAGATGGATCAAATGGTGGGCAAGAGAACATTATCAGCAGGGACAAATAATTAAGCACACCAGTCGCTTGTGGACGGCGGAATAATTTGGAGGCTACAAAAGCAGCCTCTCCCTCCAGATCACATCATCACAGACAGCCCAACACGCCAAAAAGAACAATTGGCCACACATACCACCCCTTAAAAACAAATGCCAGGTACACCTTTTTGTATGCAAGCTACTAGAAGACCTGTGTCCACCGTGGCGTAGAGAAGCTTCCTTGGACCATCAATGGCAGCTTGGCAACAAAATCCATCTCATCTCACTCACATGCACAGGGATCATGATTGACTTGCATTATGTTATTGCCCACTACGACGCTTAAGCCGCAAGTGATAAGTGCCCCAGAGGGAATTATGTAACTGGGTTTGCTCGCTTCTCGCTTAAGCCTGCCCAGAATATGAACATCGATACCACCTTTTTCTTTTCAACTGATAGGCGTCTGAAAAGCAGAGGAAGAGAAAGAGCAAAGTTTAGATATATAGCACGAAGGAATATACAAGGAAAAGCACAGGAATGTACACAAATTCACGTGACGAGTTCTACAACTTTGGGACACATGAGAAACATTATCTTTTTGCTTGAACCCATGATCAGTTCACACGTAGTCAGCATAGATGCAGCTTTGTGTGAACTTTGCTAACAATATCACTTACACCATAGTTGTGTTCCCCACATGAACTTTATAGTGGTGCTACCATGACTGAAAAAAAAAACTGGTTGCAATGCACATCAAAGCTCTATTGGATATGTTATTCGATCAGGAACCAGGTCAGCAGGGCTGGGAAGTTCAGACATGAAAATTCAGCAAACTTACGAGCGAAAACGAACTCACGTGAGATGAGGTTCCTACAATTAAACATTAACGGATATAATTGCCATCCATCAGGAGGTTCGCTATTAAAAGTTTTTTATCTATGTGCAAGAGAAATTACATATGCACAAGCTTACAGTAAACTGCAAAACATCTCTTTGTTACACTAAGAGGACAGACGACGACAAGACAGCAATTATATCTTTCACAAAAGAGAGGTATCATTTAAAGCAGTGTTGTATCACTTGAATGACTAGGATATCAAGAAGCCATCATCTGAAGAAAAAGAAAAGGCACCTTAAAAGTTATACGACACCTTAGCAGTTAGCATATAATATGTCCCAAGCTGAGCGTCACTTGTCAGTTTTCCACAATCTAGCATATACTCCCTCCGTCCCAAAGTAAATGTCTCAACCTTAGTACAACTTTGTACTAGAGTTAGTACAAAATTGAGACACTTATTTTGGGACGAAGGGAGTAGTAACTAAGGACTACCATAGAATAAGCACATACTCCCTCCGTTCGGAATTACTTGTCTCGGAAATGGATGTATCTAGAATTAAAACATGTCTAGATACATCCATTTCTGCGACAAGTAATTCCGAACGGACGGAGTATTTCAGTAACTAAAGATCCACAAACTGCAGGGACGCCAGAGACAGAAGATGATGGTTGAAACAACCAAGTGCTGCTGCTGCACTGCAAACAAGTCAGAAATTGGGCAATTCTTACCCAAAATCACTAAGGAACAGAAGTGATCTCAAACAATATTTTATCAGCATCCATATATTTTTTTTCATCTGCGGTACCCTCTTACAAAACGTTTGATGTCTGCAAAGTCTAAAACTGCCTCCACGTCGCAAAAAGATGAGCTCCACTTTGTACTAATGAAGTCGACAAGAAACTCTGACTGCTTGTTGCCATTTGTCTGCCACACAGACACAAAGAGGTTTTTGCATGTTACATCAGTGAAAATACTAATGTTCCTTCAGGACTTGCAAAGCAACAAATCCAAAGAAAAGCGAAAGCATGATGTGCATCTGAGGGAATACCAATCAAGGCACTGTAGGGTAGTACATATAAAAGCAGCACAGCTTGTTTCATGTTATGTGATACTCCCTCAGTTAATATGAGATGTTATGGATGTATCAGTATGTACTACATACAGACTGAAATGAGTGACCAAACACACTGAAATACGTCTATATACATCCCATCAGAAAAAAATTAGAACATCTTATAATAGTGAATGGAGGGAGTATCTCTTTATGATCTTGTAAGCAAGTGCACAACCAATCACTTACTAAATAAGTATCTGAAAGTCTTAAAAACAAAATTGCTCCTACAGCTAAACATGAAACATATTAGTAACAATTTAAGCCCATATTGGACTGAATTATTCGTTTGAAGTTATCTAGTAGCAATTTACAGTGTCATGTACAATGGTGCTGGTAGTTAACAAAAACATGCAAATCTAAGATACATGACATCTGAAGATGCTTTACCTCAAAAACAAAGAAACCTCCAGGCATCAGTGCCGAAGATAACCCTTCACATAGATGAAGCAAATGATCAAGGCCATCTTTGCCTCCATCAAGTGCCAATTTTGGTTCATGCCAACCAACTTCAGGTTGCAGGCCAGGTAGATCATCAGTTGGTATGTATGGAGGGTTACTAATGACACCCATCAGTTTTCCTTTGACATCTTCTAGAGGTTCGAACCATGAGCCGCGCCTTATCTCAACTTTATCCTATTTTCAGTACACGACATTAACAATAAGAATTCATGTACTTCTGCAAAGCAATACAAATTTAACTGTGTAGAACAATTAAAACCCGGAAGCAGCAGCCAGTAATTTTGCTTCTGGGAGTAGCTGCAGTAGCAAGTAGCTCTTATAAAAACGTGTAATAGACTGAAAGTAGAGTTACTAATAAAATGTGTTCTAACTTGAATATTTCCCTGAACATAAATCTCGGCTGCAACTTAGGTGGCCATTGTTTGGGCCCCAGCAAATGATTCTCAGATTCTAGGCCTTCCAAAATCAGAATCTCAAACAAACACATCAGATTCTTACCTAGCTTCCTAGAATTGATTCTGGAAAATGAACTACCAGGCAAGCCAAGCCGGAAGCAGCGATTTCGGTGATTCTGCACCTTCCCGCAAAAGAAAATGGTTTATTTTCAGTCCTTGCACCTGTTTCCAGTCAATATTACAATGAAACTGCCACCGCAGCCCTAAGCTATTCCTCCAGCAGCCGCCACTCTCACCCTGACCCGCCGTCTTTGCTCACCGCGTCCTCCACCCATGACTCCTCTCTCCTCTCATCTCTCCCGTCTGATCCAAGGGCCTCCCATAGGGCCTCGCCAGCTGTCTCCTCCTGTCGCTCGCGGCCGACAGCTTGCTGCCCAGCATGCCGAACTCCTTGCCACCGTGATCCGAGACCTCCGTGAGCGGCGGCAGCTTCCCATCCTGATCGCCATCGGCAGCCATGGCCTCGTCGTAGTAATCAAATCGGGACCTGCTGGTGGCGTAGAAGTCCTCAGACTGGCTGGCGCCGTGAATGCTGAACAGCGGCTCGTTGGGCGCGATGCTCCACTCCACCTGCGACTACCCCGTCCTGGGCTGGAAGACAGGCGCCGGGATCCTGTCCGGGTTGAAGACCTCGACTGCTGGAGCCATGGCAGCCGGCTTAGCCATTGTTAAGGCCTCCAGCGCCGACGACACCGTGCCTCCGTCAGACGAGAACGTTTCGTCGTCCTCCCACAGGGCCTCCAACCGTCTCCTCCTACACCACCCTCGGCGGTGGTCCGCTCCGTCCATGCCACGCCCTTCCATGGTCTGGTCCGGCCTCACCAACCCCACCACCCTGAGATTCCTCCTGCGCCGCCTCCTGCACCAAAATCTCCACTCTCCCCGAGCTCAGTAGTTGCTCAGACCATATGTATTTTCTGTCTGTGTGCGCGCGCGTGCGTGTGTGCGTATTGGAAGATTTGTGAATTGTTCAATGAATGTGATTATTTCTGCAAATTTCATGATTGACCAGTGCATTCAGGGGCGTTGCAGACGTTTCAAGCTGATTAGTCAGAAAATCTAAAATCCGGCAGTAGCCAATTTTCTTTTCTAAGCTGATTAGTCAGAAATACATTTTAGCTGTGCAAACAAATAAAACCCGGTGGTAGTAGCCATTTCTTCAGGGTATAGTTGTGGAACTAACAGGAGCAAGTAAGCAGACTATGAAATACAATTACTACTAAATGGTGTTCCAACTTGAAGCAGTTACCAAATGTAAATCTCAATTTTGGTTTAACTCGCTTGCTACCTAAACTACTAAGTCAAAACCAGAACATGAAACAACACCTCCGTTTTTGGCAACAAATCAAAATCCACCCTACGCTGAATTTATTATGCTACGAGCAATTATATTTTATTTTGCCAACAATGAATGCAGGAATTCTTACACCATGTGCTTAACCATATCGATTGCATTTAGTTGTTATACAACAAACACAAACTGATATGACTAACCAAAAATATTCTGACATGAATTGGCATCTCCATTGAAACAAATAACCAAATTGAAACTTATCGACATGACCATTTGTGTATACTCAAGTAGGTTACTTACTGACATATCATGACTTCACTTATGGAAGTTGATCAGCACATTGGTCACCTCCTTGATATCACCATGTCACCCAGCCCCTTCATTTGGGCAGTCTGTTGCTTCTGGATTTTAATGTTAATGGGTCAGGCCTTGTCATCAACAAGCTTCAAGAATAGAAGCTTAAACATGCTGCGATGATTTGTGTCGAGTGCCAACACTTCCTGCCCCATGTACCAGTAAGAATCACACTTCTCCTTGAAGTGTTTCTCCAAAATACTCTCAGGCAGACCATGTTTGGCAACCTCAGCCGGTTGTATCCTCTTCAACTGAGGAGACAAGATCTTTTTCCTGGGCTAGGTTGGCTCGATGAGTTCGGCATGCAGCGCCTTCATGTTGCGCTAGGGCTTCTTGGCCACATTCTACTTCGAGGGGAGCTGGCTTGGGCTGCACCATGTCAGCCTCGGACTCAATATCATGGGTCTCAATGTCCTCGGAGTCAGACTCAGAGTCTCTCACCTTGTCCTCAGGTACAAGATACTAAGTCTGAGACCTACGAGGTGGAACCCAAGCCAGTGCCCTTTCAAAAGAGGAAGTGGCCAAGAAGGCCCAACGCAAGAGGAAGGCACTGCGGGCCAAACTCGCCGAGCCAATCGAGCCCAAGAGGAAGGCCTTCTCATTTCAGCTTGAAGAGAATGTGACCAACTAAGGTTGGCGAGGATGGTTTTTCTAAGAGTAATCTAGAGAAGCTCTGAAAGGAGAATTACAATTCATACCGGTGCCTCGGGCAAGAGGTGTGGACACTGGAGGCAAAACATCATGGCATGTTTAAGCTTCCGTTCTTGAAGCTTGTTAATGAAATGCCGAAGCCCTCCACACTAAAATCTAGAAGCAGCCCAAAACGAAGGCGCTGATCCGACAAGGTAATATTAAGAAGGGGTTGACAAATACGTTGATCAGCTTGCTTAACTGAAGTCATGAACTCATGATAGGTTGCTAAACTGATCTTCTGTTATGAGCCTCCACTTGGTTAAAATTAAGTAATCTGGTCGATTATATATACAATGGTCATGTAGAATAAGCCTGTGTCTAAATATTTTTTTCGAATCTTGGTTGGTCATATATCAGCTCATACTTGCTGTATAATAAATAAATGCAATAGATATGCTTAAGCACATGACACAACAATTGCCGCGTCCATTGGTGGCAAAATAGAAATGCTGGTAGCATAATAATAATCATCTGCATTTCACCCTACACCACCAATTTATGTCAGCAGATATTTTGGTTGGTAATATATCAGATCGTACTTGTCGTATAACAAACAAATGCAGTTGATATGGTTAAGTACGAGACGCTATAATTGTTGCATCCATTGGTGGCAAACTAGAATTGCCGCTACATAGTAAATGATTATCCACATTCCACCCTACACTACCAGTTTAACGGCACTGTCTTAGACTACATTGTAACACAGATTCAGTTAGCTCACTACACCGATGGATGATAACCAGGAAAACATCATGCATTATCTAGCTGGGTATAAGTGGCAGCATTTTAGTTTGATCACAGATTCACAGTGGATGTAAAACAGCTTAAGTTTCCCAACTCTAGACACAACTGAGATCGCCTCACCTGCACCCCGTACCTCTGGACGTTGAGCCGCGCGACCTCAACAGCGACCTCGCTGACGTCGGTGGCGAACACCCTCCCCCCGGGCCCCAGCATCCTGGCCACGGCCACGGCAATGGCGCCGCTCCCGGTCCCGAGGTCCGCCCACCACCCGTCCTGGAACCCCTCGACCGCCGCGACCATGTCGACGACGGCCTCCGTCTCGGGCCGCGGGATGAGCACGCCGTCCCGGACCGCGACCACCAGATCCTTCCAGTGCTCGTTCCCGACCACGTACTGGAACGGGCGCCTGTCCCGGACGTGGCGGAGCCACAGGGCCTCGAGCTCATCGAGCGGCGCGCGGAGGAGGTGGGGCGCCGCCGGGTCGGCGCCGGACGGGGCGGGGGCGGAGGCGTCCGCGAGGAGCCAGCGGAGGTGGCGGTGGAGGTGCGGCGCGGAGGGCGGGACGAGCGCGGCGGCCCGGCGGCGGAAGGCGGCGAGTGAGGCCTCCGGGACGGGGTGGGTCGGCGGGCGGAGGAAGAG